TTAAATATTGAGAAACTCTTCTAGAGCCCACCAATGGACATGATCTAAGAAAACAAACAAATATAGATCCGAAGTTACTACTTGGATTTAGAGTCATATTTTAGTTGATATATAACATTGAAATGTATAATTAATTACCAAATAGAATTTGCAAATTTTTTTAATACTACTTTATTGAAACATACATAAATATATCAGATATTTATATAAGATAACTAATCACCGCCAAGAATCTTGTTTTTGATGATATCGGTAGCATTTTTGGCGGTGCCTAAAACGCCAGAGACAGATCCTTTAGCTTTTTCAGTGATGGAATCCGTTGTCTCGGTCACCTTTTCCGTCACATCTTTGGTCATTTTGGTCACCTGATTAACCAAATTGATCAGATTTTATCGTCGATTAAGTTATGTACAATAAAAAATGTAGTGAATCAAAATGTGTGTTGATTATAATTACGCGGCCAGCCGTTTTGGAAGCGACATCTTGGATATACTCGGTGGTTTCCTTAACTTGCTTGGCTCCTTCTTTCACTGCCTCTGCTGCTTCTTTCACATTTTGGCATTGTTCTGCCTCTTCTTTACTCTTTTTTCATTTCCAACAAACCAGTTACAATATTGATTATTCAACATATACATTACAATATCAAATTTTACCAAAAAAATATATTAGAATATTTCACTCTCTTTACGTATAACTTGTACCAAAAACCATTGTCATTATGCAAGTTACCATTTATACCATAAATGAAATTAGAGGTTTGTCACTTTGTTGGGTCTTGTCTATAACTAAACAAAGAATTTACTTGAAAACAACTCTCCATTGGTTCTTACTTGTAAGGGTCTTGGTGACGCTGAAACAAAGGCCCTGCATAGTGGAAAACACCTTGCCGTTTTTCCACTATAGATCAGAACTTCGGCCAGTTTTGATGAAAGCATCGACGAATGCATCGTAACTTTTGTAGAACACAAAGTACTAGTCTATAGAACGTTCGAGAGAAAAGTTGAAATTTCTCACCCTAAGACGCAAACTCTAGCTAAAAGCTTTATTTATATATGATCAACCCTTCCATCTCGGTCTTAATTTTGATCGTCCGATCTATATTATTTCTTTTGTTTTTTCTCTTATTAATTATAAATGAAAATGTCAGATTTGTCCGGTTATGAGCATTTATAGGGTTCTTTGTGGTTTGTCTTTAACAAACACACAATTTTCCCAAACCCCAATTGTGCGGCTATAGACTTGGTCTTTGGTTTTCTTTCTCCTGAATTCTTAATAATAGTTGTCTAGGAATATCGAAAGATTTTATGGTTAATCTAGTTTATGTACATTCTCTACATTTAAATGATTTACGTTTTGATCTTGTAAAAATGACCAAATTTTGAAAATCTCGCAAATTAGATCAAATTAAGACAACTCGAAGTAGTAACTGAGATAAACTAATCCACTCATTAATCATTACTTTCAAAATAAAATAAAAGTTGTAGTGCTTGAAGACGTACGCTGGCCAAATATATACAAATTACAAAAAATAAATTATTTAAACTTCGACCAATCAGTTGTCAATGTGGTATAGTTGTATCATCAGACAGCCTTTACTAAGGAAAACATGTTATAAATTTTGTTCACAGCCAAATTTATGACTTTCAACTGTCACCAACCTTACATTTTGCTATATAAACCCTAAAAAGCTCATTATAAACCTCAACAACACACGAGAGATCAATAGAATCTATTTTAAAAATAGGAGAGAAGAGAGATACACAGAGAGATATGTCGAGAGTTTTGTCAGTCGTTTGTGTCTTGCTCGCTATGTCATTCGTCCATGCACGTGCTCGTCTCGTGCCAGGTGCGTTTGATGAGAGTAAGACGACGACAACACGTGACGATACAATAACAACGACGCTCATGCATGCAAATGCAGCTGATCAGTTACCACCAAAACGCCTCGGCGACAAAAAATGCATCGGAGGAGTCGGAGGAGTAGGTGGGTTCGCCGGAGTTGGTGGTTACGCCGGTGTTGGTGGTCTAGGAATGCCACTCATCGGCGGTATCGGTAAATACGGTGGCATAGGCGGTGCAGCTGGAATCGGAGGCTTTCACGGTATAGGCGGTGGTTTAGGCGGTGTAGGAGCTGGTCTAGGCGGCGTTGGTGGTGTAGGAGGCGGTCTAGGTGGTGTTGGCGGTCTCGGTGGAGCCGGAGCTGGTATTGGTGGTGGTATTGGGAAAGCAGGTGGTATTGGTGGTCTAGGCGGTCTAGGTGGAGTCGGAAGTGGTATTGGTGGTGGTATCGGCAAAGGAGCTGGTATTGGCGGTTTAGGCGGAGTCGGTGCTGGTGGTATTGGTAAGGCAGGTGGTATCGGTGGTGTTGGTGGTATCGGCGGAGGTCACGGGGTGGTCGGTGGCGGTATCGGCGGAGGTCACGGGGTGGTCGGTGGCGTTGGCGGTGGGATCGATCCACATCCTTGATGAGTGAAGTTAAGTAGAGAGTTTTTCTCGCTTATAGGGTTTAAGGAATAATTAATTAGTTCGGATGTTATTGTTGTTGTTTTCTTTTTAAAAAATTTGGGTGATCATTAAGGTAACTTTTGATCTGTTTCATCGTTTAATGTTTGCTTCGATTTCGACCGTCGTGTCATGTAATGTGTGATTTTCTATGTTCAATCATTAGTTTTATGGTTCGTTTTGGTTTATGAGGTTCTTCCTATTTTTGCATGCTTGTTCACTGCCATTTATATGTTTGGACTCTTTCGATATATATTCATAATTTTTTCTTTCTAAAAAAAAAAGAAAGAAAACCCAGAAGAAAACGATCATAGTTTTGGACTCTTTCGTATGAATCAATCCAACATGCGTTAACATCGAAAGTTTGTATATAGTAAAATTTAATACATTCTAAAACTAGCCAAAGCAAAAACTTGGATAATGGGACGTCCGGATATTTCTCCACACCACAAGAATGCATCTCTACGTGCATATGATTCGTGTAATATGTCTTAATTCATACTTTATACTATATATTTTAAGATCAGATCTTAAGCATTCATGAACGTAACAAGAAACACTTCAGAACTAAAAAATAGCAAACGAAATCGTAGAGCTAATCTAATTAATTAAATTGATGCATGGAATAAAATGCCTTTCTTGAAAGAAATAAAAAAATTGATGCATGGTTTCATGGTTGGAAATTACTTTTGCAAATTTGTGACTTCTCTAAAATACTCAAGGAAAGAAAAATGGGAAAAAAGTTTTTTAAAAAAGGGAAAAATTGTGGGGGAAGACTTGAATCCACAAAATGTAAGCAATAATAAATAATGTAATAATTGCGTTGGTATGATAGTGACAAATATTAAAGAAGATACGATTTGCATGTCAAACACTTGTAGTGCCATTTCATGCATCGTCCTCTCTATTGTCTATATCATTGGCCCAAACTTAAATTTCCATCTCATCATGCAATAAATTACGACATGCATAGCCTCACTTATTCCTTTTCATATCGCATTTGTATGTATGTTTCTATGTTATAATATACCTTATATAATGATTTAATATTTTGTTTTTAG